CCACTGATCCAAGTTCATCAATTCCGGATCCTGGTTCTTCAACCCCTGTGACTCCTCATGGCACCTCTACATCAGATAAAGGCAAGGCACCAGTTGAAGAGGCTGCTGAAGATGATGAAGAAACTGAAGAGGAGGATCTTGACCAATATCAGCTCTCTCGGAGGACACCTGGATCCACTTAGTTCATCATTTAGGACATTTGCATTTTGTTTATCTTATTTATGTGTTTGTGGTATTTAACAATGAATATGAAATGTAATGGATATTCTAAGTTTCTTTTGGTGTGTTTTGATGGATGTTTAAGTACTGTGTTGATGGATGTCTAAGTATTTTGATGGATGTTTGTTTGTCTATTCTGATTGTGTGAATATAATGAATTTGGTTTGCATTGGTGTAATGAATGTGTTTGTGAATGACTGTGGTTTGCATTTATGGATGTAATTGATTACCCTTTTGTGATGACAAAAAGGGGGAGATGGCCGGATCTATAGATTGATATTGGATTGAATTTGATGATGTTGGATTGATATTGGATTGATTGGATTGGCTTGTATAATTGGATAATTGTGTAATTCGGTTGGGCAGCCAAGTGAGGGGGAGTTTTTCAAAATTGTTTATGATTCACTAAGAAAGGGGGAGTTCTTGTCTATTGTGAAAGGGGGAGATTTTATTCAAATCATCAAATCTCATTTCAAACCTTTGTTTTGTCATCATCAAAAAGGGGAGAATGTTATTCTTGGTTTTGATGATCACAAAGTAATTTGAAATGTTTATACTAACCAAGAAAGTGAACACTTTGATCAGGTCTGATGGAACAAAGAAAGCATATGTTCGTTTATCTCCTGACTACGTTGCTTTGGATGTGGCAAACATGATTGGAATAAAATGAATGAATTTAGTCATTGTTTTGTTCCAATCAAAGATACTGTCCTTTAAGTATGACAATTTTGCTATTCTTGGTATTTTGAAATGTATCTAACCTTCTTCGATTATAAGTGTCTTTACATATCAAAGAATCAGGTATGAATAGGTCATGAAATGCATTTCAACCAAAAGAAGAAGCAAAAACAGGATACTCACGTCGGACGGCCGAAAGGAATCTGTCGGACGTCCGAAAGGATAAAGAGCATCAAGAAGGAAGCTCTGTCGGATGCTCGTGAGGAAGCATCGGACGTCCGGAAGGATCAGACGCTTGCCATCGGACGCTCATCAACCGCATCGGACGTCCGAAAAATTCCAAGCTGACTTGCCAACTCTCTGCCTACGATCGGACGGTGCGGTGTCGGACGATCAAGACGCATCGGACGTCCGAACGTCAACTTGGATGCCATCGGACGATTGGTTCGGACGATGATTTGATCGTCGGACGTCCGACAGCCCCAACGGCTAGTTGACTCTTCAGCTGCCTTCTATCCGTTGGAAGCATTGATGAAGCCCATTTCTGGTTCCCTTTAAAATCAAACTGGTCTGAACGAAGTAAGGACTTTTGCACACTTTGTTTACAAGATCTCAAGAGATATTTTAGCTAGAAAATAGTCTCCAAAGCTAGATTTGTTTTAAAGTGGTGTGAATTTCTGGTGAGCATTTCTTTTGTGATTGAAAGGATCTTTAGTGTAGCTTTGTTGAGGGTTTTCAGAGTGATTGTAAAACTTCTTAGCTTGACTAAGTGAGGCTTAGGGCAAGGAGGAAGTGCTCCCTCCATTGTACATCTAGTTGATCGTCTTCCATCAAAGAGAAGTTGCTCTTCCTAGTGTGTGGTCTTCAAGTTTGAGGATAGCTTGGTAGACACTTGGTTTGATTCCCCAATTTACTTTTCTGTTTAATAAAATTCTCATTGCTTGTTTATACTTGTGTTTCTGATCAATATTGCTCTTGTCTTCTAATCCACTTGGTTGATCATTACTAGAAAAGAAGGAAATTTTAATTTAGCAAAAATTGCCTAAATCTGATTAAGATTTTGAACAACCCAATTCACCCCCCCTCTTGGTTGTCTTTGGGACTTACAGCAGAAAGCTTCGAGAAGCTTGCATGTAAGAATTAGAAATTACAGTTTTGCCCCTAACTTTTACATAATTACACTCAGGCCCAATAGTTTGTGAAAAATGAATCAAGTCTTCCTTTTTCAAACCTGGATCTTCTTTTGTATATTTTTTGTATGCTTTGAGTGATTTATTTATGGATTTAGGATATAATTAAAGTTTAAATAATTTTGTTGGATATAAATTGTGAGAGCCCGAAATTTATTGGGTATTTCATTCTTTTGTTTTAGAATTGAAGGTGTTGTGTTTACTTGTTACTTGTTTCTTGTGATTAAATAACGTGGATGTACCCTATATTAGTGTTGGATCAACCTTTATAGAAATTAACACTAGAATAAGAAATTAGTAGGAACATTGTGAGGACTCGCAAAATTTACTTATTTAATCTCCTATTTCTAGCTTATTTAATTATTTATTTGGTCTTTTACTCCGAATATTATTTTCTAAGCTCTTGAGACCTAATTACATGGAAATATAGTTTCATTATATTTTTAAAATGACTTGTTTCAAAAATTAATTTTCGGAAGCTCGTTTAGTGAAAATAGTGAACACGTCTTTGGAAATCTTGATCGATTGAGAGTACAATAGGTTTGAAATATTGGAGACATGTACAATGGACCTAAATTAGGTATCTTAATGTTTAAATACTCAAGTGATAGTTATTAGTACTATCGTTATAAGAATTTCTCGGAAGTTTCGCCTTATTGCGCTTAAATTGGAGATACGCGTTTTCACACGTGCGATTTAATTTAGGAACTTTAGACCCTTATTTTGGGACAAATTAAGAGTGAATAATAGTTATATGAATATAAGTGCATTAGAGGTTTAGTGCACTAGTGAAACAAACGCGAGAGGAAACGAGCACGAAACGCGCGCGTTCGCGCGCTATTGAAAGGTTGACTTTTGGAACCAATTTTGGCCACAAATATCAAAGCTTCCTACGGAAGCTTATCATCAGCCACCATTCTTCTTTTCCTTCTCAAACCAGCCGTGCAACACCAAGAGAAGGAGACCAAAATTCCTTCTTCATTCACCTCTCAAACTTGCACCAAATCACTTGAAATTTCTACCACAAACTCACAACAACTTGGAGATTCATCTAGGCAAGGAGGGGAGCTTCATTTCCACGGTTTTCTTGAGGCTCAAAGTGACCAAAAATTTCTGATCTAGTCATCCAAGAAGGTAGCAAATCATCCAACCCATAGGTCTTAGTTTTTGTAAGATATATTGCACATATACGGTTATATAATCATGTGGGTAGCTTTGTTTATGGTGTAAAATGAAATGGGTGGGCTCTATGAACTCCCACCTTTGTCTTGGGGACTGATATCATGTTTGATGATGGATTTAATGTTGGTTTAGTGCTCAAAATGGTAGATTAATGGTGTATAACTAGTAGAAACTTCAAGGAGTGCATGGAGTAAAAAGTGACCGTTTTACCCCTGCCTTGTCCGACCATTTTTGTGCAACATTTTGAGGTTCTAATGAATGGATTATGTTGTTTACATGTTATTGTGAGTGTGTACAAAATTTCATCGAAAAATAACATGATTTGGTTGGTCAAATGAGTTGATTTCCAAAGTCAGCAAAACTGGAAAATGAATCCCGTATTGGCCAGGCAGTCATTTTGTATCGACCATAACTCTTTGCTCCGATGTCGAAATCAAGTGCCGTTCATGGCACTGGAAACTAGACATTCCCAGCTTTCCATTGGTACCAATTTTACATTCTGGTTCCACTTGAGTGAGCCACACCATTCGATTGAAAATCACTGTCCTGTTTCGTTGCTCTCCAGGAGACAGGACAGAAATTGCTTCTTGATGCTCAAAAACGAGCTGTTTGTGAATGGAATTTGAAACTGGTTTCTTCTGAGAAAATTTAGCTTTATGAGAGAGCTTTCCAACGCCATTAACCACGTCCAATTCCAAGTTAAATTGAGTGAGTTGTGGCCAATGTTTGAAACTGCTACAGTGATAGAATTTTCCACTTGGACAGATTTGTAACTAACAATGATTTGGGACTTGTTTTCTGAAGCTTCTTGGTATAAATCACCTATCAAATGTACCTTAGACATTATCTACTGAAATGAACCATGTTTGAGGTGTTTTATTGGCCAAACGTTTTGAAAATGGAAAAACGGAAGTCCAAGGCAGATTTGCCGAGGAACTTCTTGGGACTTTAGTGATTTCGTTAACCAACTTTACGAATGAATTTTCCTACGAAATTTGGTAGAGAAATAACCCTTATATGGTAGGATAATACTGCCAAATTTGGTGCCATTCCAAGTCCGTTTCAGTGTTCAACCAACGTCCCAAAGTTCATGTTTAAATCTGGAAATTCTTGATCGAGGAGGAAATTTTAGCCAACTTTGAGCTGCTATATCTTGGCGCTCAAAACTTTGATTCTTGTTCCGTTTGTTTTGTTTTAAACTTTGATTGTAGTTCTAATTGAGTTCTAAATTTCGGAGGCTAGTTCGTATTGTGTGAATTTTGCTGGATTTTCAAAGTTGGTCAAAAACCAACCCCGGAACTGTCTTAATGGTCCAAAGCAGCAACCTTGAGTCAATTTTTGAATACCTTCCGTTTGGAATCATGGAAAAGTATCTTCTAGGAACTTTTAGTGTTTTTGAAGAAGTTTCCAACGGTATCAAGCTTTCCAATTTTGGACCTACATAGTGCAAGATACGATTTTTCTAGAATTGACACCCAAAGCTGAAATTTGGCAATTTCTTAGAAAATGAGATTTTGGAAACTTGCCTTTTTTTCTCGATACCGATTGAACATTTTGAACTCGATTTCATGAAAAATGTTAGTCTCTCTCTTTAGACTCTAAAACTTTACTCTTGAGCCTCGATTATTAATAAATAAGGCCCAATTCATGAATTCCCTTTAGATTGTACAACCTTCTTTGATAAGTACGAGTTCTAAGTGATAGTGTATAATAGTTAATGGTTATTTGCTCAGGCGCTCAAGGGGACCTTCAAGAAGAACTCGAAGTGGACGCCTAGACACTTGTTTGAATATTTACTCTCTTGTTGCAATAGGTGAGTGTTCCATATAGGAATACGTAATTGGAATAAGTCTATGACATGCTTAACCCATGGTCATTAAGTGTTAAGTGCTATATGATAAGAATTTACCACACTCATGCATATTCGAATGAGGTATACTTGAATTGCTCGACATGAAATAGCTGAAGTATGTATATTTGAACTATTCGATATGAAATGCTTAAAGAGCATATTTATGTGATTACTTGAAATGCTAGATATGAAATGCTTGGAGAGCATATATATACAGGATGTGTTTACATGATTAATTATGCTATGGCAGCATAAGTCGGTTGGAGTGAATCTCCCCGACTCTTACGTGGTAAAAGTGGAAAACGGCCAATGGCGGCCTATTGAAATGACATATGTCTACCAATTAACCGTAATTACCACCGTTAACCGTTTACCGTTTACTGTTAACCGTGTTTACTTACCGTTTTCTAATCTATGTGGTTACTTGCTTACTTGATTATCATGAATCACATGTTATATGAAGTTGTCCATCATTGTTAGGCGAGTGTGTACTTTACCTCACTCGACCTATTCAAATGATGAATTTTATTTTTGTCGAATTACTTGGTTACCTGTGCATGTTGTAAGCTATAAGCTGAACTTGGGCCCTGCCTCGGTTACTGACCTACTCGAGCCAGGACTGGGCTCGGTCGGGTAGGTTGGAACCCTGGACAACCGTTTCGGTATACTCGAGTATTACCACTGGAGGGATAAGGTGATGGCCAGTCAAACCGAGGGGATCCGGAAGTCATAAGGTGCAGATGACCGACAGAGTTCCACTGGAACACCGTATCCTACAGTATATGTTTACCTTGTATCATGATGATTGTTTCGTGCTAAAATGCCAACATGAAATCCCGAGCTATGCCTGTAATAAGCTCCAATCACTCGTGAACTATACATGCTAATGTCTCATACCATGATAAATGTCTCAAATTACCCGTACAATGATTATCACCTCATGATAACATGCCATTGTGTAACCTTGAACCATGCATATGATATGCCCAACTTACTTGATTTATTTGAACTGTTAGAGTGTCTTGGAACCTCACTGGGCTGTGTAGCTCATACCACGTTGTGGATTTCTTTTCAGGGTTAGAGACCAAGGGTACTCGTGAGTAGTACTAGATTGTTCTCTTTTGAAGACTTTGAGTTATATTATAACGGATGGCTATAGTACTCTTTTCCGTTGGATTGTATTTGAACTTGAAAGCTACATAATTGTAAGTGTGAGATATTTGAAGTACTTTAATTATGTATTGAAGTTACTTATAGTATTTCGAGCTCTTGAATGATGGATTGTAGTGAGTCCTGGCGAGAGCTGGGCAGGCGTCCCGTGGATACCCTTTGGTTCGCCTTAGGGAGAAGTGTGGGCGTCACAAACATAACATGAGAATATAGAAGTAAGGGGTAATTGGTAGAATAACTCTTGACCAACCTTGACCAAGACTAGAGTTATGTCTATCCAATTGAAGCTTCATGCAGCCCTATTCCTCATTCTTTTTCTCTTGCTTTGGCTGGTTCTAGAGAGGGGGAGGTGAGAGATATTTCTTCTTCATTTTTCCATCCAAGAGAGTAGGAAAAAGTCAAGGAAAGCTGCAGGAATTTTTTTCCTTGTCTTGCTCCAATTTCCCAACTGAGAGAGAGATGTTTCTCCATTGCCTCCATTTTTGACCAAGTCCAAGTAGCATGTAAGAGTTGACCAACCCAAACTTAGTTCCTCTTGTTTCTTTTCTTCAGTTTAACCAACGTGAGAAAGAAAACAAAACAAACAAGACTGGTCTCTTGTTTTGTCCCACTTTAGCTGAGAGAGAGTAGAGAGAGTTGAGAGGAAAATGTTGTCTCCTGCTCCAATCTTCCAACCGAGAGAAGATTGAGAGAAAACAAAGAAATTTCTCTTGTTTTGCTTCCACTTCAGCCAAGAGGAACCAGAGAGAGAAAACTTAAAGGAAGCTTGTGTTTTACTTCCATTTCCAGCTTGCTTGATCGAGTAGAAGGACCAAAACATGGGAGTTAACTTCTAGCTTGTTTTAAAGGTAACATGACTTGGAACTTCAATTTCTTTCACATACTTTAGAGGGCTTTTGATGTATGTTTGGTTGAGGTTGGATTGAGGTAGTAACAGGTTGTAAAGACTTGCTTTATCGCTGGAAATTTTCCAGCTTGGATTGAACTAGGAATGACCTTTTGTTTTCTAGATTTTGGCTCTTGGTTTGCTGCAAGTTGCTAGGGAATCCTTGAATCCCTTTTGATAGATGAAGCTTGGTGTAAATATAGCATCCATGTGAGCTGGTGGTTGCTAAAATTAAATTTCCAGATTTGACCGAGGGAGAAACATGAGCTCGATTTACAGCGTTTTAGTGTGAATTTTTGAGGAGTTTCCACTAGGAAGTTATGCTATAAATGTTATATTTCTTGTTTAGTATGATATATAGCATGTTGTCTTTGATCTTGGTAGCAAATTGCTGGCTTAGAGGTGAGATTGGGAGCAATAAAGTTGAAGTAACTCTTGTGAAAACTTGAAATTTGTCCGAAATGCGAGAGAGGAAGAGCCGAGCTTCACCTTTGGTTTTTGTTGAAATTTGATGCTTAAATTATGTTAAAATTGCCGGTATGAATGTCATACTTAAGTGTATGGGTGGTTTGAATAAAAGTCTTGTGGTTTTAAAAGAGAAAAAGGAGTTTTTCACAAGTGAAAAATGAGTTTCCAGATTTTCAGATTTCACTGACAAGTCTCAGTAAAATGCTTATATCTTGGTGTAGAAAAATCCAATTGAGATTCCGTCAGCGGCATTTGAAACTAGACTCATGGGCCTTTGTTCTGTAAAAATTTCATATTTTGCGTCCATATGTAGTGCTGTTCGTGACTCCTCAAAGTAGGCTGTCCTATTTGAATGTACTGTTTCTTCAGGAAAATGAATTTTTGACTTGGATTGAATATTTGGCCTATTTGTGATTTGAATCTGTGAGGACCCGAAATTTTCTTATTTTTATTTTATTTTTCTGGTTTAATTAATTATTTACTCACCCGTTTTCTTTGAATAATTTATTTCAACCATTTTAAACTTATTTACATGGAACTATGGCTTACATGTATTTTTAAAATGACTTGTTACAAAAATTAATTTTTGATAAACTCGTTTAGTGAGAATAGTGAATACACGTTTGGAGACAATAATCGAATCGAGGATACAATAAGCTTGGAAAATTGAAGACTTGTACATTAGTTTTGAAATAGGTATTTTTATGTTTAAGTGCTCAAGTGTTAGTTAGTTATATTATCGTTATAAGAATTTATTAGAAATTTCACTCCATCGCGCTTAAATTGGAAGTACACGTTTTCGCGCGCGCGATTAATTGAGGGACTTAAAACCTTTATTTTGGGGCTATTAAGAATGAATAATAATAGTGATAAGGGAAGTGTATCAGAGGTTTAGTGCATAAGTGAAACAAACCCGAGAGGAAACGGGCACGAAACGCGCGCGCACGCGCACTATTGAGAGTTGACTTTTGTGCCACATTAATGCCACAACTACCAAGCTTCTCCAAGAAGCTTCACCATCTGCAAACCCTCATCTCTCTCATCTCTTACCTCTCATTTTCGTCCGGCCACCAAGAAGGAACAAAGGGAAGGAAAAAACTTCATCTTCTAGCTTCCATTTCACTCCCAAAACCTTCACAAATCATCACACAACTTCCACTTCACTTGGAGAGCAACTTCAGCTGAGGGAAAGGCATCATCTTGCTGGTTTTTCTTGGGTCTTGGAGGTGTAAAATTTCTGGCTTCATCTCAAAAACTAGGAGATAATCATCTAATCTTCTAGTCTTGGTTTTAGTGGATGGATCTTTGATATGAAGCTTGTAGCTTCATGTGGGTGTTGTTATTTGGATAAAAAATGTTGGTGTGGGCTCTATGAAATCTCACTATGGCTTGATGGACTGATTTGAAAATATTTGATGTTATTTATGTTGGATTAGTACTTAATCTAGTGGAAATAAGTTGTATTGTGGAAGAAAGTTCAAAGGAAGTGAAGAGAAGAATTTAACCCGTTCTGCCCTTGCCATTGCCGTGACCCTTAGTGCATTTTTTGGGATTAAAATGACTGGATTTTGATGTAAATGTGTAATATAGGTTGTGTAGAAAGTTTCATCAAAAAATTACATGATTTGGATGGGTAAATCTTGAGATTTCGAAAATTTGCCAAAACTGGAATTGTGTCCCGTATTGCTCTGGCAGTGTTTTAGTTTCGGCCATAACTCTTTACTCCGACGTCGAAATCGAGTGCCGTTTGCTGCATTAGAAACTAGACACTCCCAGTTTTCCAAAGGTAGCCCTGATTCTACCTGAGTGAGCCGTACCGACCTTGTAAAGTTGCCTGTCCTGTTTCACGTCTGTACTGGAAGCCCTGTTTTGAGCTGCAAGTTGATGGTCAAATATGAGCTAGTTGTGGATAGAATTTTAAAACGATTCCTTCTGAGAAATTGTAGCTTTATGAATGTGGTTTTCAACGCCACCAACCACACTCAATTCTGAGTTGAATTGAGTGAATTATGGCCAAATTACAGACCTGCATCATTGCTTGAAAACCCTCATTTTAGACTGATCAATGGCCTATCTTGTTTGGGACTTGTTATTTTGAAAATTTTGGTGTCAATCACTTACCAAATGTATATTAGATGTTTCTCTGACTTTTGTTTCATAAATGGACCAGATTTGAATCATTTTCATTGGGCAAAATGTTTGAAAAGGAAGAAGAAAGCAAAAGACAGATTGGTCTTGGGATTTTCTTGAACTTTGGTAGTTTAGTTCACTACCTTCCCGTGTGAATTTTCAAATGAAATTTGGTAGAGGTGTAGTCCTCATATGGAAGTTGAATTGTACCAAATTTGGTGTCAATCTAAAACCATTTCGATATACAAATGATGTCCCAAAGTTGCTCTTCGAATCTGGAAAAGTTTTCCTTTTCTCTTGGCCGAATGGTCAAATCTGATTTGGGAAGTTATATTTTGAGAACCTTGATGTCAATTACTTCTAAATTTCTTATTGGATGTTTATGAAACATTAGATTCAATATTTGAATTAATTGAAGTTGATTGTGTGGAACAAAGCTTTTAAAAAGGAAAATTGAAGTACAAGGCAGAATTGCCTTGGAAATTTAGTGGCTTTGTTAACTGGCTTCCCGAATGAATTTTCATATGAAATTTGACAGAGGAATAGATCTTATATGTTAGAGTAATACTACCAAATTTTGTGCCATTCCGAGTCTATTTCAATGTCCAACTGAAGTCCCAAATTTCATGTTTCAAATCTGGAAATTCTTGATCAATGAGGAATTTTTTGCCAACTTTGAGCTGCTATATCTTGGCGCTCAAAACTTTGATTCTTGTTCCGTTTGTTTTTTTTTAAACTTTGATTGTAACTCTAATTGAGTTCCAAATTTTGGAGGCTAGTTGGCATTGTGTGAATTTTACCGAATTTCCAAAGTTTGCCAAAAACCAACCCGAATCTGTCTTGGGAGTCCAAGTCAACCACTTTAAGCCAAAATTTGAGTGTCTTCCATTTTGAATCTTAGAAAAGTGTCTTCTAGGAACTTTTAGTACTTCGGAACTAGTTTCCAACGGTACCAAGTTTTCTATTTTTGGACCTACTGAGTGCAAGATATGATTTTTCTAAATTTGACACACAAAGCTGAATTTTGCCAATTTCTTAGAAAATGCAATTTCGGAACCTTGACTTCTTTTCTCGGTATAGATTGAACGTTTTGAACTCGATTTCATGGACAATGTTAGACTCTCTTTGAACTTTAAAACTCCACTCTTGAACCTCGAGTAGAGAGAATTGAAACTTTCTTTTAAGACTTTGATTTAGTCTAATTGAGTGTGCATCCTTCTTGGTAAATGCATGATTTAAGTAAAGTTAATTATTACTTGCTCAGGCGCTCAAGGGGACCTTCAAGAGAAATTCGAAGTGGACGCCTAAACACTTGTTTGAGCACTTACTCACTTGTTTTGAATAGGTGAGTGTTCCATATAGGAGTACGTGATTTGAATAGTTTTATGACATGTTTACTCCATGGTCATTATGTGTTTAATTATTAAGTACTATCGATAATTGCTCCTATGGACTTTTCCATCATTTTGAGTCGAGTGTGTGTATTACCGCACTCGTTCTCACTTAAGTAAAATGTACTTGAATTACTCGATATGAAATACTTGAAATGCATATTTACATGAAGCGTTTCAATGATTGATTATGCTATGGCTGCATAAGTGGATTGGAGTAAATCTCCTCG